AATAAATAAATAAATAAATAAATAAATAAATAAATAAATAAATAAATAAATACACACACACACTTGCATCTCTCCCAATATGTGACATTTTTTTTCTCTCATGCAAGCTCATTTCTGGTTAGATGGTCACGGCTGTTCTCCTCGGTAGGCTTCCCATGGAAAAAGGGAATTGGCATAGGGTGGGGGAAAGATGGGTGAATACTGTTCACAAACCTGTATTGCAACTTGTCCCAGACATTAAAGAGTTATATGCTTTCTTTAAAAAAAAAAAACAAGTTCATGCTCAAGAGAGAGAGTGTGCCAAGTAACCAGCTGTGGTGAACTCTTGAACCTCCCGATGGGTAGCAGAATGTAAAAGATAAGCATTGCTTCACTCTAGCCGAAAGCTTCTGTGGGCCTCCCGTACTCCACTCTCTCAAAAGGCCTAGCCTGTTTCTCTCTGAAAACTTCTGGCAGAGGCTTGTACTTCTTCCTTTGGCTTTCCTCTTGGGGAAGGACCACACGAACATTCAAGGGACTGAGACTCCTGGAGTAACATTCATTGCATCTTGAAAGACTGTGCAACGAAGGGCCACGCACCTCGCTTTCTTTAAGCCAAACCTTCTGCCTCTCTTGGTCAACAACATAGTCAGTTTGTAATTTCCTCTCTGCCATGCAAGTGATTTTTGTTTGTTTCCAATCATCCACGAATCATCGGGTTCAGTCAAGCCCTAAGGGGATCAACCCTCAAGCATAATATATTGTCAATGTTCGTTCCATCGTACTTTACAGCTGGTGTGTTTTTTTACCCTCTTCTACCGAGAACCGCAGGTTATGGTGTTACCATCAGGCTGAGATTTGGGGGTGACAATCCAGAACCTCTCTAAGGAGCATGAAGTGGGTGCAGGGAGCTAAGAGCAAGGCAACTTTCTACTTTTTGGAGTAAACAAAGGAATGCACACCCTTAGCACATAAAGGGGTCATTGAAACCTTTATGGTGAGCAGAAGTGTTTTCGATTTGCACCCTTTCCGCAGTGACAGAGAAAAGGCTTGGGCTGGAGAAAGAGCTGCAGGAGATGTTCAAAGCCATCCTGAATCCTCCACCACAGGCAGGACCAGATGAGGTTGAGAAGAACAAGCCCACCTTTCAAGAGATGCTCTCTGAGCCAAATGCTCTGAGCAACAAGAACGTCATCCTGATTATGATTGGGATAGCCTTGAGTTCCATGTTGGTAACCATGGTAGGACTGTGAGTACTTCCGCTGGGCTGTTCTCCCCGCAAAGGGTGAATCTCACATGGCACAGTGGTTAAGAGTGCTTGACCAGGATTTGGGAAGTCCATGTTCTTTCCCCTCCCCTTTCCATCTTCACAACACCTCTTGCAAGGCAAGTTATTCTGAGAAATAGCAACTGAACTACAGTGGTGCCTCACTAGACAGTTACCCTGCATGACCATTTTTTCACTAGACATTGACTTTTTGCAATCGCTATAGGGAAATGCTTTTCGCTAGACAATGATTTCGCTAAACAGTGATTTCAGTGGAACGGATTGTCATCGTCTAGCGAGGCACCACTGTATGTCCACTCTGTGAGCCATATGGCTGAGTGAGGAACATGAACTCAGGTCACTCCTGTCTAAATTACCACCTTCAGTTTGCATCAGTGGTTCCTCAACCTTGGGTCCAGATGTTCTTGGACTAAAACTCCCAGAAATCTTCATCACTAACTGTGCAGGCCAGGATTATTGGGAGTTATAGTCCGAGAACATTCCAAGGGACCTGAGGTTGAGAACCACTGATTTAGAGGAGGAGAAGGCTGATGAAATATATTCAGGACAGAAGCAAAAGCATTTTGTCCATCTTCAGAGGTTCACCTTTATTGATTCTTGAATCTCGAGGCTGAGCACTCATAAAAAAAATTGGTGGAAGTCTTATGATCAGAGTTCTTTTTTTAGATTACAATATGCTACTTTTGGGGATAACAATGGCCTGAAATTAGTTGTGACTGAAAAGTAAATTTCCTAGTTCCTGACCAGCATAGCATAGCGGGACAGATTTAGACTATAATTTGGGAAATCCAGGTTCATGTTCTCTCTTAAGCCATGAAGGTCACTGGGGAAGCTTAAGCCAACCATCTTCACCTTAACAAAAGTCCCAAGGCTTTTATGGAGATGAACAGGACAGAAAGAGAGCCATGTAGGCTCGTTCTTGTTGGAGAATGGTTTTGAAAACAGACTTTTTTGCTTTTCAAATCCCCCCCTAAATGGATGTTTTCAAGAACCTCCCTCTGGATTTAGCCAGTTCTTGCTTCTTCCCCTTGCAATCATGCTTAGCTTTGAAGTGAGAAAGATTTAACCACCCACCCAGGACCCATAGGATTTTTTTTAAAAGGGAAGAGAATATGAGAAGGATTGCATTCACCACCATCCCCACTTCCTTGTAACTTCAGAGCAACACCAACTGTGGGAACAACTGGAATTGACAATGGTACCCAAACTTGGGCCTCCAGATGTTCTTGGACTAAAACCCCCAGAAGCCTTCACCGCTTACTGTGCTGGCCAGGATTTCTTGGGGTTGTCCTACAAGAACATCTGGGGATCCAAGTTTGGGAACCACTGGACTATACCATTTTAATATCAACCTCCTGCAAAATTATTTGAAACTTACTCATGAAGACTTGCGATACAATCCTTATTCCTACCAAACTTTCCATGGCTGAATCCATCTACAAAGAGGTGGAGCTGCAACATAGAATCATGGGATCATGGAGTCCTTTTTGGACTGTTGGACTCCAGTTCTATAAGTCCCAATTAGCATGACATATGGCCAAGGATGATGGGGACTGTAGTCCAGCAACATCTGGAGGACTGTCTCTCTTCTAGGACACTTCCACCTCCAGATTTGTTAATAAAATATCTAATATATCAGACATTTTTTTTTCCTGTTAAAATAGTGGTTCTCAATCTTAGCTTCCTAGATGTTCTTGGACTACAACTCCCAGAAATCCTGGTCAGCACAGCTAATGGTGAAAGCTTCTGGGAGCTTTAGTTCAAGAACATTTGGGGACAGTTAACAATTAAAACAATATTGAAGCATACAGAGATAAAAATTCTCAAGAACCTTATTTTTGGTCATTGCTGTGCTCGTTTTTGTTTGCTTGTTTTCAGTCTTAGACAATGGAATATATTAGAAGTTTTTAAAGATCCCATGCATTTTCGGGAAACAAACATTTATCAAGGTAGTCAATTACACTGAAATAAATCAATGCAATTTATCTTGGAACTAGTACCACCTTTTCCTCAAAATATTTGCAAACATTTTTTACATCTGTACCTAAGGCAATGATGATACCCTCTGCTTTCTTTACATGTGGTTGTATCTCAAATCATCTTTTTAAAACTTTTTTAAAAATACTGTCCAGTTACTCAAATTGCTTGCTAAGAACTGGAACCTAAAGGAATTCACATTATGTCCCAGCCCCTTTTAAAGTTGACTTGCTGACTGCCTTTCTGTTAAAGATACAATGCTTTCATATCCACTAATCAAGTGATCTGATCTAATCAACTTTCCAAAACAGCCCAAAGCTTTTGCTGTTTCAGATGTTAAAACCCTTTGGAGGTCAAGGAGGGTGTGCCCCCCAACTGAAAAACAGCTATGAATGCTTGAATTAAGCAAACAGTTAAACAATGTATGGTCTTTCACCTTGATCTGCCATGAATAGAATAGCTGAGAACTCAACCAATTTACACCGTCTGCTCTCTTATTCAACTTTCCTGTGGTTTTCTTTCACCTCCTCCCCAGGACAATTTATCAATGGGCGACAGGCATCAAATCCTGAACTAGGAAGAACTTCTCAGAATTTTACTCCTCCTGCCTTTATTTCCTCCCTTCTGCCTCCACCAAGATGCTGGTATCATCACTATGGCAAAATAAGCATAAATAATAAGAAAAAATAAAAACTTTGATATGAGTGTTGCATTGTGTTTCTAGCTCTGAGCCAAGCTTCAGACCACTTCTAATATGGAGTAGATGGGCATGTGTAGATTTGCCTTTTTCTGTTGGATAGCTCAGTGGCTTTGGCATCTAGCTGTGTTGGGAGTTTGTTTCCCCACTGTGCCCCCCTGAGAGTGACTGGACTCCATGATCCCTAGGGTCCCTCCTAACTCTGCAGTTCTGATGATGATGATGATGATCGATTGGACTCCATGATCCCTAGGGTCCCTCCCAACTCTGCAGTTCTGATGATGATGATGATTGGGGAGGACAGACCAAAGCTCTTAGAGATACCTGGAACAGATATTTTCAGAGTGTAAAGCTCCTAGAAGACAGACCAAAGCTCTTAGAGATACCCAAAACAGATATTTTCAGAGTGTAAAGCTCCTACTTCAGTCAATATCAATTATTTTCTTTTGGGGGGGGGGCTCCAAATCCCAGAATCCTCCAGCTTCTGGATTTTGTAGTCCAAAAAAAAAAAAGGCTACGTTTCAATGTCCTGGGCAGCTGTAATGATTATAATTTGTCTACCCTGTAACTATTGCCTGCCTACCAACACAACCTCAATGCAAACAATGATCTCTGTACATTGATATTCACTTTCCGCACTGCTGGGGCTGAGATAAAACAGACAGGCTAATCTGGCCAAGAACATGGAAAAGTTACCTTTTGGGGGGGACAGGAGCATTGGAACTCACAGAATTCCATGGCCTTGAACAGGTTGTGCTGGCCAGTGGATTCCTGGATTTGTAGTCTCCCCCCCCCCCAATTCCCAGCAAGCAAATCTTTCAGGCTCTTGAGTTAGGTGTCTGGCTGTACAATCAAAGGTTGGGAGTTCAGTTCCCCACTGGGCATCCCAGAAGAGTCAGCCCGTTTAGCCTTGGGCAAGCTGCACAATCCCAGGGTGGCCTCCAGAAGAAGGGAAGAGCAAACCACTGCCAAGTACTTTCTACCCTAAAAAGGGTCATCATAAGTCAGAATTGGCTTGGTGGCACATGCTTATTTTTACGTCACCTGTATATGGCATGGAAAGTGGCTGAGGGCACCATCTTGATTTTTGAGGGAGGTAGCAAAATAATTTGGGAATTACTGTGAGTGGCTCTGGATGGGTAACTTTGAGAAGGAAAATGTCAGCAAGATGCCCCAAGAATGATCCGGCTGCCTCCAAGAAGCAGAAGCTGGGAAGCTGTCAAGCATGTCTTGCTAAGGTCTCCGCTACTCTACCTACCTTGAACACACTTGAGAATCCCTGATATCTCCCATCGAAGACGTTGGGGCGGGAAATGTGTCGGTCAACTCCAATTCCCATCAACCTCTAGTTGCCAATGACCAGAAATGATGGGAGCTGGACTCCACAGGATCCTTCTTCTTTACTTAAGGGAATAAAGCAGCAGGGAAAGGAAATCCACAGGGCTTGGATTTCAACTTCCAGAAACCCCACCCAGTGTGGCCACTGGGAAGGGATCATGGGAGATGTAGTCCAAAAAATTCTGGAGGGCCAGGATTTTCCTGTGCCTGGGATAAGGCAATGCTTTTTCCTGAAAGGACTGGCTGAAGACAGAAGGAGAGAAGGACATCTTGCATCAGTTTTGGACCAGCTCTGGAAAAATTACTTTTTTTGGACCATAGAGTTCTCTGTACGTTGGCTAGGGGATCTTGGAAGTTGTATCCAAAAAGTTAATTTTTCTGCACTCTGATTTAGGGAGAAAGCTCCAGGCAGGAGGGAGTGATGAGAGAAACTGGGCAGATATGCAGTTTGCTAGATAAAGGATACCTACATATTTTTGTTTGGCTTTCAGCTAATAAATGCACAGGAGCCCTGCTGGATGAAAAGTTGACAAAACTGAGTAAGGGTGTCTGAGTGTACTCAACCAAGTTACTCAGAACGATCAGAGATGCCTCCTCCTCCAGCCTTCTGAGACCCTTCAGAGGGGCTGGACAACAACTCTTGCTGTCCCCAACCTTCCTGCTAAACAGACCATCTATCTAGGAATGATGGGGTTTGTAGTCTGACCCAGCTAGAAGACAAATCAAGGAAGGTTGGGCCAGAAGATTACTGATGGGTTGAAAATCAATTATCCATTAGTTTGATGGAATTTTCCCCTTGTTTTTTTACTCTTGATACTTTCCTACTTTGCTCTCCAGCAGAGTTTGTGTCCCTTGAACAGCCTTGCAGTAGACAAATATTCAGCCGATGGCCCTCTTTTCTCCAGTATGTGGACGCAATTTAAGACTTAATTCCCTAACCTATAGGAAAGGGATCTTTCTCTCCCTGTCTCTCCCCAAATCCCATCTTGTGGGGCGCCGCCAACTGTGTGCTGAGAAAAATTTTCATCCTTCCCAGCCTGGATGCTGATGGACCATGTCCAGTAGAGGTGATCAGAGCTGTAGACTAGTGCAGTGGTTCTTAACCTTTGTTACTCGGATGCTTTTGAACTGCAACTCCCAGAAACCCCAGTTAGGACAGCTGGTGGTGAAGGCTTCTGGGAGTTGCAGTCCAAAACTCCTGAGTAACCCAAGGTTAAGAACCAGTGGACTAGTGCATGGGGTGGGGCGGGAGTGGCAGAGGACGATGGGAGCTGTAGTACTTCTGTTGAACCAGGCTCCATTTTCCTAAAGTTTATGCCAAACAAAACTTGGGAGAGGCTTTACCATAACACACTTTGCAGCAACAGGCTAATAGGTCTACGGCATGGGGTGGGGCAGGAGTGGGAGAGGACGATGGGAGCTGTAGTGCTTCTGTTGAACTAGGCTCCATTTTCCTAAAGTTTATGTCAAATAAAGCTTGGGGGAGGCTTTACCATAACACACTTTGCAGCAACAGGCTAATAGGTCTACGTGGGGAGGGCAGGATACTAATCTATTATCTAAAGAAGATATTAGATTAGTATCTGTGAAGATTCTCAGTCATCCAGGCGAGGTTATCTAGAAGTCATGGAAACTGGAGTTCTTTCTTATTAGGTTGAAATGTTTGGCCACTCATCCATGTAGCTTCTTCGGTCTGATACTGAATACTGAAGAAGCTACTTGGAAGAGTAGTGAAACATTTCAGTCTAATAACAGGGGGTCTCCGAGATTTTCAGTATGACGGCCACATCATATATTTTACACATTTTTGAGGGCTGAAGGAAGGAAGGGGGCCCAAGCAACCCCCAATGCCTGCTGTCTTTGCAAAGACAGCAGAGGTGGGGGATCAATTGGGGGCCCCATCTTTCCTATGCCCCGGCAGATAAAAAGGCATGGCGGGCTGGATGTGGATCATGGAGACCCCTAGTCTAATAAGAAAGAAGCCCAGTGCCCATGACTCAACTTCCTGATTATCTAAAGTAGTCTACTGATCCTTACAGCCTAATCTCCTTAACACTAATCATCTTTCCCCACCCATTCGGAGATTCACACCCTCTTAACTGTTGGCAACACCCCTAGCTGCAGCTCAGCTATTTCCCTGAGGCCATCTGTCTGAACTTTGCCTCTCATGCATTCCACCTTGACAGCCCCTCTTTGTGTTAAGAGAGACACCTAAGAGATACACCTAAAGAACACTTTAAAAGTTTGTGGCTCTAAATCAAATAAACGCTAAACAGGCTAGCAAAAAGTTGAACTCAGCAAGCAAAGTATTTGCAGGTGAGCACATTCACCAGAACACAACAACAATCTCAAGGTAGATTTTACATAGCTTGTAGTTCCACACTGTTCAAAAGAAAACTGCCTTCTAGCACTCTGCAATACAAGCGGGAGAGGCGTGTGATAATGTAATATTCCTTGGTAAAATCCATTTTCTTCCTAGTTATTTCTGAAGAAAATGATGAGGACTGATGATGATGATCACTGGTTCTTAACCTTTGTTACTCAGATGTTTTTGGACTGCAACTCCCAGAAGCCTTCACCATCATTCAAAGGAAAACTGCCTTCTAGCACCTTTGTTACTCGGATACTTTTGAACTGCAACTCCCAGAAACCCCAGTCAGGACAGCTGGTGGTGAAGACTTCTGGGAGTTGCAGTCCAAAACTCCTGAGTAACCCAAGGTTAAGAACCAGTGTTCTAGCACTCTGCAATACAAGTGGGAGAGGTGTGTGATAATATAATATTCCTTGGTAGAATCCATTTTCTTCCTAGTTATTTCTGAAGAAAATGATGAGGATTGATGATGATGATGATCTTAGAACTGGATCACAGGATCCAGCCCCTTTGATTGAACTCCCCACCTCTGGCTCCTCAGCCAGATACCTAAACCAGAGGTTCTCAACCTTGGTTACTCAGATGTTTTTGAACTGCAGCTCCCAGAAACCCCAGCCAGCACAGCTGGTGGTGAAGGCTTCTGGGAGTTGCAGTCCAAAAACACCTGCGTAACCAAGGTTGAGAACCACTGACTTAAACCACTGGTTCTTAACCTTTGTTACTCAGATGTTTTTGGACTGCAACTCCCAGAAGCCTTCACCATCAGCTCTGCTGTCTGAGGTTTCTGGGAGTTGCAGTTCAAAAACACCTGAGTAACAAAGTTTAAAAACCACTGATGATGGTGATCTTAGAACTGGATCACAGGATCCAGCCCCTTTGATTGAACTCCCCACCTCTGGTTGCAGTTCAAAAACACCTGAGTAACAAAGGTTAAGAACCACTGACTTAAACAACAGAAGCACCCAGCAGTTCTTAATAATTTTAGAACTGCAGAGCCGAAAGGGAGACCATCAAGTCCAGCTACTCTCGAGGAGGCACATTGGGGGAACTGAACTGCCAACCTCTGGCTCTGCAGCTAGAAATGGAAAACACTGAGATCTCCAGCAGCAAAGCCCAGAGAGAACTGGGAAATAAGAGGGCCGGGTGGATGATCATGTATGAAGAAAGATCATGTATGGCAGTGGTTCTTAACCTTTGTTACTCGGATTGTTTTGAACTGCAACTCCCAGAAACCCCAGTCAGGACAGCTGGTGGTGAAG